ATAATGCTTCTGTATAGAGTTGCAGTACAGTAGTTCTTACCTTTGGAGTTACAAAATGTTAAATTAATCCTTATAATAAGATGGAGGGACATCTGAACTGTCATATCTGCCAGCCTCTGGCAAGACAAGGATAGTGTGAATAATGGTGAAAGTGTTTATTATTACGGTCACCCTGTAAGGGTTATCCTAGGGGAGTTTTAACCAGCAAGTGTGTGTGTGTGTGTGTGTGTGTGTGTGTGTGTGTGTGTGTGTGTGTGTGTGTGTGTGTGAGTGTGAGTGTGAGTGTGTGTGTGTTTAGTGAGTGAGTGTGTGTGTGTGTGTGTGTGTGTGTGAGTGAGTGTGTGTGTGTGTTAGTGTGTGCATGTTAGTGTGTGCATGTTAGTGTGTGCGTGTGTGCTAATGTGTGTGTTAGTGTGTGTGTGTGTATGCGTGTTAGTGTGTGCATGTTAGTGTGTGTGTGTGTGTGTGTGTGTGTGTGTGTGTTAGATCAGGGTGAGTGGAAACAGGTGATTTTAGGAATGATATTCTCTTGGGGTGTGAGCAGGGTAACATGAATGGATTCAGTGAAACTGGTTAACTGGAGTCCTGGAGGTGAGAAGTAGAGGACCGGCTCTTTGGAGGATGGGTGAAGATGTTGCAGTTTAGAAGGTCATTTGAACTGTGAAGTCTGCACTTCAAGCAAGACAGCTATTAAAAGTATGATGGTGGATGAGTTTCAAGTTTTTTAATGGATTTTAGATGATACACAAAGGCTACAAATGAATACAGTACAGGAAAAGTTTTCTGGCACTATCTGAATATCTGGTAAAAAAGGGAATTACATGGAACCCTTCATGCAGTAAGGTGTACAAGTACTATACTATAGAAACAAATTTTTTTACTGTACAAAATCTAGAACTTGTATGGAAAGTAAGGGTTTTCAATTCATTAGCTATTGCAACTCTGTTATTCACTCATTCCATTGACTTCATATAATAAAATAGATTGTTTGGCGGTACTGTGTTCAAGATTAATCTGAAGTACACTGACACAGTAGACAGTACTGGGAAGTTAGCAGCTTTGAAACTCATGTTTAAACTGTTGTTATTCATGGAAGATACACTAAACTTCTTAATAATATTTAAAGAATTATCTCCTTGAGTTAAAGTAAAGAATGCTTTATTATATTACTGGGTACCTTTTTTTCTTTTCAACAAATTCCATTGATCAGCAGGACTTCAGTCTCCTTTCAGTCTTTTTTTTTTTTTTTACAGATAGTTCTTCTTTATTTAATATGGCTTCCAGTTCTTGGAAAAATGTATTTATATGATTCAGATGTTCTAAATCAACATACTTGTTGGAAAGTGCCAGTAAAGTGAATAAATTAACATTTGCCCTGTTAAGGCTGATTGACAAAAGTTGCTTTTGTTAGGGAGGAGCAGAGCATTTCTTAATTGTGGAATGTCTGATGTAAGGTGAAAGCTAATACTTAGAGTTTGATGTGACATGATGACCACCTTATTTCTTCTGTTGATGTCAGCAGGTAAGATGTGTACTATAACAAAATGACAATAAATAACAGCTTCTTGAGCATTGTAGGTTTTCCTTTCTGCCTTCTTGAGCACTGTGAAGATCACTGCTAACTACAGTATTAATGTATTCGCAACAGAGATATGGAACTCATGTATGTGATACACATGCTGTATGTAGTATCTGCTTTGCTGACCTGTTACTCTCATTAACAGTAAACGTGGCTTAGCCTGTACTGGGGGTAATGAACACTGTATATTCTTGCCCAGCTGTATTATATTCTGCCCTGATTTGGGCTACTAATATAATCTTATAATATTCTGTGAATATTTTCTTGTACATTGCATATGAAACTACAACTGTACTCATATTTTTACTTTTTATTCTGTATATATTTTTCTGTATATAGCTCTTTGAGATTGGTATTGCTTTTATGTTGTGTTATGATTTGTGATGCATTTTTTGGGGGCTGTAAAATATTAATTACATTGTATTGGAACATTGTGTGACTGCTGAATTGCTGCTTGTAACATAACAAATTTTAGCATTGATATTGGTATATTGTGGTTGGTTATTCTAACTAGTTACTAGGCTTGATAAAAATTATTTTAAAATTAGCTTTGATAACTTACTTTATATCATAATTATCAATGCAGAGAGAAGCCATTTTCATATAGAATTAATATTAGCTTAACACTTTACTTCTGAAAAATTGCATATTTTTACTTAAGATAGGAAAATTATTTATTTAAAGATAGTAAGCTATTCTGACTGCACTGTTAGGGCTAAGAGTACTTAATTAAGTTTATGCTAATTTGATATACAGTAGTAATAAGGGTATCAGTAACTGAATAATTATCTAATAATTTAATGTAAACTTTTGCCTTAATATAATGATAATGGGAAGGGAGGAAGGTACTTTTAACTTTATTGCTTCCTAGAGTAATTATTTCTTATTATGGACCATCCAGCCTACCTTGAGTCCTTAAATATTGTATACAAATTAGCAGTGATCTTAATTACTAGTGTAATACCTCTCAAGTTTCACTAGTGAAAGTGGTATAAGAGAATCATCTCTCTGACTTTATTCAGCCCATTTTTTTTTTTTCCTTGTAGAGGTTATTAGGGACTTAGACCAAATACTTAGGGAATATTTTGAGAGTATGGTGATGTAAACAAAATATTGCAGGGAACATATACTTCATCCACTGTGTTTCAAAGTTCTCTGAAGTATTGTGGATTTATTTGCCCTTCACTTTAACTCTGTACCTGGAGGGTGTTCCTGGGGTCAATGCCCCCACAGCTTGGTCCATGACTAGGCCTAAACAAATTTTTACCAAACATTGAAATATTCCTATGTTAGAGAGGAACCACTCATAAAGTAGTGTGTTTTGCTCTATCCTCCTGAGGTGAATTAAGTTGTGTTCCCAGTGCAGCTGGCTGAAGACAATTTACCCATCCAGCAAGACCAAACAAATTATACTAACTAAACCCAGTGAACCTCTCATCTAGAGCACTGAATCACTAACTTAAATACTACAGCCTCTCCTCACTTAGCGACATACTCGTTTACCGATGACTCAGACTTACAACGGGCTCTCCGACCAGTATGCATACCTAAATAATGTATATTAGAGCTGATAGTTGCCACAGACCCACTACCATTATAGTATGCTCCTCACTTAGCAATGAATTCATTTACCTATGTGGTCTTAGGACTGGAACTCCGTTGTTAAGTGAGAAGAGGCTGTACTGTAATTTCTTGACTGCAAAATCAAATCTATCCAGCATAATCCAAAACTTTCTTACTCAAGTTAGAGGTTACCTCACGGATAATTGCCCAAGCTCTATTATTTTCCCTACAGAGGTAACTTTATTAATAAACATGTTTTAAAAAGCAGAAATGTGTATTAGAGAGCTGCTAATGTGCTGTCACCTACCATTGCAACATTGTTCAATAGATCTGTAGAAATCAGAAGTAGACACCCAGAATGAATCGACTAAATTTTTTGAAAATAATGCATAAATGTATTCCAGGAAGTGTGCATGAGTATGTTAGATAGGAATGAATGGATACAAATGGTTTTTGGGACCTGGTGAGCTGTTGGAGTGTGAGCAGGGTAATATTTTGTGAAGGGATTCAGGGAAACTGGTTAGCCAGACTTAGAGTCCTGAAAATGGGAAGTACACTACCTACACTTTGAAGGAGGGGTTTGGGATATTGGCAGTTTGGAGGGACATCTAAACTGTCGTATCTGAGCGCCTCTGCAAAGACAGTGATTATATATGAGTGATGGTGAAAGTGTTGAATGATGATGGAAGTTTTTTTTTTCTTTCTTTTTGGGTCACCCTTCCTCAATGGGAGATTGCCGACACGTTAAGAAAAATGTATGCATTTTTATAACTAAGCATAACATTCTTAATCCTTGCCAGTTTGGTTTCATGCAAGGTAAAAACTGTGAATGATACCATAATGAAAATGCTTGGATTTAATACATTAGACCACAACATCCTGTTGCTTAAACTAGAACATGATAGAATCAGAATCCATGCTCTCACATGAAGTTCTACCTTATTGACTGACACAGTATGTAACTATTAGTGACTAACACTTTATCAACTTGACCTATTGACATGGTGGTGCCAGGGATACAGTGTCTTAGGCCCTAGTTTCACAGCAACAAACTACTTCAAAAATAGTTAAAATAAGCCTGAATTTTTGACATACATCTATGTAGATCATCTGTAAATATTGTACAGTATCAGATATATCTTTTGCAACCTTCTTAGCTGGATTCCAATCAAGATTCATAAACAACAGTTGTCACCACTACTACAACCCCTCCCCCCCTCAGTAATTATTATACATTAACTGAAATTCCCAATACTGTTTTGTATTACTATCTCTAACATTACTGTTATAATATACAGAATTTTGTTATTACATTTAATAACCTTATCTTCAAACAGCTGACTTATATTAAACTTACTATTGTATTAATCTTAACATCACCTATATAATATTAAGGAATTTTAAGTTCTAGTTTTGTCTTCCCAAAATTCTCTACATAATCAGAAGCTTTTCAGAATGTATTAAATGTTACCTAATTTTGTAACAGTTATGTACATTTTGAATTTTTTTTTTTTGTTACTCTCCTTAATAGTGCAGTTTGATAAATGGATATTTAATTATTTATTTGAAAGTACAGTACAGTAATTGGTAATTGATTTAAGGTATATTCAAAGAGCTACTTAACAGCAATCACATAATGAAAAATTATTTTAAAGATTTAATTCCTTAGTGATTTTGCACACAGTATATAACCATAATGCCAAATTTTTCAGACTAATTTGAGAATTATCATTGAGAAATGGATGTATTGTACCCATAAATCCATGATATTAAATTAGTCTTTTTACATTTGGTAGAATACATGTGTATTTTATTGAAAATATTAGTGTTTAATATTTATTTTGCACTCTCACAACAGAGCCACCACCAGTTGTCTCTCGCCGTAACTCAACTGTTACCTCTCCTACGTCTGAGCTTGGTCATCCTTTGTTGGAAATATCGGTTCCAACCACACCAACACGTGTCACCCCTCCGCTCTCCTCTCGTTCGCGATCTCCATCCCCAGATAAAGAAGATTTGTGGGAATCGATGATCAGACACAGGTTAGTGTTTTTTCTTTCTTTACTAAGCTTGACATGACCAGTTTGCATGTATGATACTCACAATTTGCATTTGTAAAATGATCAGCACTGGCACATTAAAAAAATCTTCCAAGCAGTTGAGTTTTAGGTTACCATTTATACAGTAAACACCTATATCACCTTAAGGGGACAGGAAGGTGGGTGGATAATAAATTCAATAGAAAATACAGTAGCAGAGTTATGCACATAGTGTCTGGTCTTCAGTGCTTATTCTCTCTCTGTTGGCAATTTTAGGTCTCATTTGTGAAAAAATTCATTAGGTGTGTCTGTTTTTAGTCTGATTAACATATCACTCAAAATGGAGCCCCATTGTGACTTCAGTATTTCACTCATTTCTTTGTAATTGTCAATTTAAGCTCCATTTCCTTTAGGCAAGGACCCAGTAGTGGATGTGGGGTTTTTCCCTTGATTTTGCACATGAGAAAAAACATTTTTCTCACTTCTTGAAGTTTCTTTCAGTGGCTTTTTACTTCCATTGTCTCTTTGATTCATTCAGTTTTATCTCATTTTTTCCCATCCTGACTGGTATTTCTCTTTGCTCTTGAAAAAGTGTAGGACCTTTGAGATGTTCATTGATTCTTCATCCTCACCTGTAGGAGGAGGATCTCTCTAACTTGAATCTTTCTTTTAATTAACACACTGGCCATCTCTCACTGAGGTAGGATGAAACATTTGAAGAGTCACATTCACCATCATTCATTTAATTGCTATCTTGCCAGAAGTGTGCTGACAATGCTGCTCAGATGACCCTCTGAACTGCATCATCACCACCATTTTTTTCCAGTGCAAGCACTGTACTTCTTACCACCAGAACTCAACACTGGCTAACTGGTTTTCCCTAAACCCTTTCATAAATGTTACCTAGCTCTTGCTGCAAAAGCATGCCTAGCCATAAAAACCTCTCGTCTCCATTCATTCCAATCTAACATGCTCACACAAGCCTGTTGGATATTCACTTCCTTAGTAATTAAAACTTTAAGCATACCCCTCCCTCCAACTCTTCCTGGATGACTCCTACCCATCCTTCCTTCTATCCCAGATTTATGTTCCCTTTAGTCATCCTCAACTTTCATCTTCTCTTCTTTTCTTAATGGTACGAGTGTGAATCAATGTTTTAGTGCCATTGACTTCATCCTCTTGTGTCTGGTTTAAGTTTGTATTACTCGTACTGTTTTTTTCAGCATATTTTACTAGGGTGTGGATTTACTTGATCCCATTTAATATATTTATCGTTGAAGCTAAATTTGTTGAATACACCTTCAAGTCTGTGTGTGTTATACTGTTTGTTTGTCAAGTAGTTTTTGGTTCTGGTTTTAGTCTTCCCAAAATACTTTGCATACCTAGAAGCTTTTCAAAATGTATGAAATGTCACACAATTTTGTAACAGTTATGTTTATTTTATTTGTAAGGAACCTGGTATGAGAGTGAGAGGACTGGTTATTAGTAAATACAAATATAAATCCAGGTTAACATGTACTAGGTGACTAGGGTATCCACAATACCTGTATGAAAGTATGCCAGGTAGCTGTGAACTTTAAAAAAAAAAAAAGATTTGTATAATAAATTGATTTGATTCATGATCCAGAACTGTAGGCACACATTTATGCCACCAGAATAATATTTGATTATCTGATTATTTCCCTCTCTTAAGTTGTGTTTTTTATTTTAAATTAAAATTTAGTTAGGGACTTTTATCATTTTATATTTGTTATTGTAGTCCAGCTTATCCTTTTCAAATCCTTTTTTTTTTACTCATTATAGCACTTTACTTTTATAATTGTCTTGTTTTAGTATTTTTGTCTTAAGTTTAACATTGTTTTTCTCTTACCACTGTGCAGTAGGTAAGGCAGAACACCAAGTGGGTGAGTGTTTTTTGAGTGTTTGCTATACCATTTCAGCTGGGAATTTACATTAATTCTGGAGTGTTCATTGTTATTATTGGCTTCATTTCAATTCACACGTGGTTCCGTGAGCTTTTGAATGACTGCTGTGCGGCAGTTATTACATCCATTAATTCTCACAGTAATCCCTTACTAAGGTATGGAGATACAAGATTCTGTTGAACAACTCCTGTTTCCTCATTTTTTTCTTTAACACACTTGCTGTCTCCCACCGAAGCAGAGTGACGCAATAAAAGAAAGAAACACTTTCACCTTCACCTTCATTCTACATTTTCACCATCATTCACACATAGTCACTGTCTTTGCAGAGGTGCCCAGACATGATAGTTTAGATGTAACTCCAAACAGCCATTATCCCGAACCCCTCCTTTAAGGCATAGACGTACTTCCCACCTCCAGGACTCAAGTCTGGCTAACCGGTTTCCCTGAACCTCTTCACAAAATATTGCCCTACTCACACTCCAACAGCTTGTCAGGTCCCAAAAACTGTTCGTCTCCATTCAATCCTATCTAACACGCTCACACATGCCTGCTCCACTAAATAATGTTCAATGGTCTTTGTAAACTGCACACTACAAATATTTGGTGCTTTCAAAAAGTTCCTGGGCTAAAATTTTTGTGTGCTGTCTGGGTGAAATATGGTGGCAGCACAGCTCATGCTACTCAGTACACTCCTTTATGAAGTAGCTTGGTGACATTGGTCAGTCATTCCATTGAGGTTAAATGGGCATTTTTTGTCATGTTAATGCATTGTTGCCATTTTTTTTGTATAACAGAATGGACTCTTTAAAAGAAAGAACAGCAGATTTGTGTGAAATTCTGTTTCAAGCTCACTAAAATGGCTGGTGGAACTCTTAGAATGCTTAAGTAGAAATTTGGCAATGAAGCAATGGGTTAGACACAGTGTTTTGAATGGTTTCTCTCCAAAGCAGGATGAACATCAATTGAGGATGATGAGCACTGATTGTCCATCATTGTCAAAAATAATTGCCTACATTGAAAAAGCGAGGAAAATGTTTCATAGAGATTGTCATCAGAGTTTCCAGAACATTGCAAGTACTGTGGAAATTTCTTATGGGTCATATCAAAGCATTTTAACTGAAAATTTGAGCATGAGGCTGTGAAAGTTGAGCTCTGCTTGCTGATTCAAGACCAGAAAGACCATTGTTTTCTGGCCAGAAACTACATGGTGGTCATTCCCCACCATATCTATTTCCCTGTGACTTCTTTCTCTTCCCCAAAATGACAATGGCATTCAAGAGGCGATACTTTAATGAAGTGGAGAATATTCAAGCAAAATCACAGGCCACACTAGATGATAGAAAAGATGAGTTCTAGAAATGTTTTGAGAAGTGGCAGAGGTGCTGGGATTAGTGTATAGCCTTCCAAGGAGACAATTTTTACTAGGTGCTAGGTAAACCTACATTTTTTCACAGTGGTCTGGGAACTTTTTGATAGCACCTTGTATATGTCACACACATGGAATTACTGATAGAAATGAAACATTGCTAGGAATTACTGATAAAGTGAAACATTTATTTCAACAGGTAGCCTGCTCATACTGCTAATATTTTAATTCCAACTACCTTATGGTTGGAATAAAAAGCTCATACTTAATTGTTACAGAATACTTAAATTTATGTACTAGGACTAGAATTCAGTACAGTGGACCCTCAGCTAACGATGGCATCAGCTAACGTTAAATCCAGCCAACGATACATTTTAACGCAAAAATTTTGCCTTAGCTAATGCTAAAAAACTCTCCCAACGCGATTTGTTCGAGATGCATCCACGTGTGAATTGAGCGTGCCTCAGTTGTCCCGTGGGTGCCAGTGTTTACAAGCCAGCGAGTTAGGTCACATCCACGCATACAATCGGAACATTTCATATTATCACAGCGTTTTTAGTGATTTTACCTGCAAAATAAGTCACCATGGGCCCCAAGAAAGCTTCTAGTGCCAACCCTGCAGGAAAAAGGGTGAGAATTACTATGGAAATGAAGAAAGAGATAATTGCTAAGTACGAAAATGGAGTGCGTGTCTCAGAGCTGGCCAGGTTGTATACCAAACCTCAATCAACCATCGCTACTATTGTGGCCAAGAAAACGGCAATCAAGGAAGCTGTTCTTGCAAAAGGCGCAACTTTTTTTTCGAATAAGAGATCGCAAGTGATAGAAGATGTTGAGAGACTGTTATTGGTGTGGATAAATGAAAAACAGATAGCAGGAGATAGCATCTCTCAAGCGATCATATGTGAAAAGGCTAGGAAGTTGCATGAGGATTTAATTAGAAAAATGCCTGCAACTAGGGGTGATTTGAGTGAATTTAAGGCCAGCAAAGGTTGGTTGGAGAGATTTAAGATTCGTAGTGACATACATAGTGTGATAAGGCATGGTGAGGCTGCTAGTTCGGACCAAAAAGCGGCTGAAAAATATGTGCAGGAATTGAAGGATTACATAGGCAGTGAAGAATTGAAACCTGAACAAGTGTTTAATTGCAATGAAACAGGCCTGTTTTGGAAGAAAATGCCAAACAGGACCTACATTACTCAGGAGGAAAAGGTACTCCCAGGACATAAGCCTATGAAAGACAGGCTTACTCTCTTGATGTGTGCTAATGCTAGTGGTGATTGCAAAGTGAAGCCTTTATTGGTGTATCACTCTGAAGCTCCCAGAGTGTTCAGGAAAAACAATGTCCTCAAGGCTAATTTGTGTGTGATGTGGAGAGCAAACAGTAAGGCATGGGTCACTAGAGACCTTTTCTATGACTGGTTACACCATGCATTTGCCCCCACTGTGAAACATTACCCTCTGGAAAATAAATTAGACCTTAAGTGCCACCTGGTATTAGACGATGCTCCTGGTCATCCTTCAGACTTGGCAGAGCGACTTTCTGGGGACATGAGCTTCATTAGGGTCAAGTTTTTGCCTCCTAATACCACTCCTCTCCTGCAGCCCATGGACCAGCAGGTCATTTCAAACTTCAAAAAACTCTACACAAAAGCTGTGTTTCAAAAGTGCTTTGTAGTGACCACAGAAACTCGATTGACTCTAAGAGAGTTTTGGAGAGATCACTTTAGCATCCTCAATTGTGTAAACATTATAGGAAAGGCTTGGGAGGGAGTGACTAAGAGGACCTTGAACTCTGCTTGGAAGAAACTGTGGCCAGAATGTGTAGACAAAAGGGATTTTGAAGGATTTGAGGCTAACCCTGAAGTGTATGCCAGTTGTGGAATCAAATGTGGCATTGGGGAAGTCCTTGGGGTTGGAGGTTAGTGGGGAGGATGTGGAAGAGTTGGTGGAGGAGGACAATGAAGAACTAACCACTGATGAGCTGCAAGATCATCTTGAACAGCAAGAGGCCAGACCTGAGGAAACTGCTTCGGAGGAGGGTATAGAGAAATTGAAAAAGTTGCCTTCCTCAAAGATTAAGGAAATGTGTGCAAAGTGGCTTGAAGTGCAAACCTTTTTTGATGAAAATCACCCTTGCACAGCTATTGCAAACCGTGCTGGTGACTATTACAATGACAATGTTGTGAACCACTTTAGGAAAGTCATAAAGGAACGGGAGGTACAGGCCTCTATGGACAGATATGTTGTGCGACAGAGGTGCAGTGACTCTCAAGCTGGTCCTAGTGGCATTAAAAGAAGAAGGGAAGTAACTCCGGAAAAGGACTTGATACCTCAAGTCCTAATGGAAGGGGATTCCCCCTTCTAAACATTAACAACTTCCACACTCTCCCCTCCTCCCATCCCATCAATCATCACCAGATCTTCAATAAAGGTAAGTGTCAGTTTGTGTGTATTAAAATTAATATTTCATGTGGTAAAAATTGTTCTTTTTTTCATACTTTGGGGTGTCAGGAACGGATTAAGTTGATTTCCACTATTTCTTATGGGGAAAGTTAATTCGGCTAACGATAATTTCAGCCAACGATGAGCTTTCAGGAACAGATTAATATCGTTAGCTGAGGGTCCACTGTAGTTTGTAAGATTCAGAATTAGTTTTATCAGAAATGTGAGGGATTCCTGCAATAAACATTACAAATACAGTACACCTCAGTCCAGAAAAATATGATGAAGTTCCTGGTACACTAACCATTAATGGTTGACTTCTTGGTATGAGCCAGTACATCTAAGTGAGAAACAGGGTGTTGTTAAACAAAATAATTTCTAAAGTATCCCTTGTTGCTAAGTGAACTGTTGTTCTGCTGGGATTACTGTAAGTATAAATTAGCTTTAGCATTCAAATAAAATGGTTTGTAAGCTGAAATTTGAATGGTACTGTTATATAATTCTTGTTTCTGTTGAATGTTTTATGCTATGTATACATTTAAAATTTCTACAAGACGAAGTGTGATAAAAACTGCTTATAATTCCATAAAATTGAATCGTGATATCTCTGTTCTTCCAGCATGATAGCTATTGAATGAATGATAAATGTGTTTCCTCTTTGTGGTCACTTTATCTTATTGAGAAACATCCGGTGTGATAAAAAAATATTTATAGAAATATTTAGCATTACTGGAAGCATGAAATTATATTTCAAAAGGATGAAGTAAGTGAAATTAAGTTCATCTTGTGTCACAAGATGAACTATTATGTATGGTACTCATAATAACTTGCCATCTTAACATTGGAGATTGATCACTTGAGAGATGATTCTGGCTAACACAGATCAGTAAGCCTACAGTTTTTTTTTTTTGTTTCTTCATTATTTTTTATTACCTTGGCTGGCTTCCACCAGTTTAAGATGATCCCCCCAAAAAAGGAAATATTCAGGTTCTTATAAAAGAATTAAAACACTGGTTTGGCAATA